AACATGGACTTCCCGTGAAATATTTAGTATCATTGGAAGAATCTGAGCATCAACTCAAATCCGAATATTCACTTCAGCAACATTTAGCAAATAATTTAATTGATCTATATATTAATTTACCATCAAAAAATCGATATCGTCGGCCGGCTAGTTATATGAGTAGGGGTTATCGCACACGTAGGATGGCCGTAGACTACGATATTCCTTTGATAACAAATGTCAAATGTGCAAAATTATTTATAGAAGCGCTTTCTCGTGAAAACGATTTTGAAATTTTAAATATTGACTACAAGACGTGCCATAAGAGGATGTCATTACCAGGTCTTATTAATGTTTCAACATTCATACCTCATGTCGCAGAATCTGATAATGATGATTTTGCACAAATTACTAAGGCGTCACTTGCAGCTGGATTTACCACCATAAATATATTGCCACTAGGATTGAATGAGTCATTGAGAAACGCGAGAACAATTGAAGTCGCACATAATAACAGTCGCAATAATGCACATTGTGATTTTTCGTTGTCAGTTATCGTCACAGAGAACAATGCTCAGGAATTGATGGCTGTAGTACCAGATGGTGCATCATCTTTTATTCCGTTCAAAAACATTCAAGCTGATATGATACCTAAAATGGCCACCGTTTCTAAGCATCTAAGCACTTGGCCTCCGCATTCTCCTATAGTCACTGATGCTAAGGGAACAGATTTGGCATCTGTTTTATTATTGGCAAGTTTACATAATCGTGCGGTGCATGTAACCGACGTAAGTACTAAAGAAGATATTGTTTTAATTGCTTTAAGCAAAGAGAAAGGTCTAAAGGTTACATGCGATGTCTCGGTATATGCTTTATTTTTGAACTCCAATGATATGAATGGCAGTGAAAGTATTTTACCTAGCTTGTCTGATCAAGCAGCTTTATGGGAATATTTGGAAAGTATCGATTGTTTTAGTGTTGGAACTCTACCATATCGACTATCGCAATCATTTGGATTTGATGTTCCAGCAAGTACTGGTATAGAAGAAACATTACCTTTATTATTAAATGCCGTTAACGATGGAAAATTGACATTAGATGATATTAAAACACGTCTTTACACTAATCCTCAAAGTATTTTCAATATACCGGAGCAACCAGATACTTCTGTAGAAGTAGAAATTGATCGAAAGGTAATAATGTCGCAAAAAGAAGGTGGTTGGTCACCATTTATCGGAAAGACATTATCGGGTGCAGTTAGTCGTGTAGTTTTAAGAAGGGACACTGTTTATCTCGATGGTGGATCATACTCTGTTGGTACCTGTGGCAATGACATTTCAAATTTGATTCATGTTATTGCGAAAACTCCAGTTATTAAAGAATCATTCGCAAGTAAAGAATCGTCTCAAGCTCAGCAGCAGCCACATCAGCAACCATCACAGCCTGTTGTTAGTCATGTTCCGGATATTTTGTCACCTACACTTACACCGAGAGAGTTTGGTCTTAAATCAATGGCTTCTGATTTGTTTTCTCTTGATTTGCCACACGCGGTCTTACCGACGTGAGCTTATGTTTTATACAACTTTTGCATATTAGGCTTTATTGATATTATGATTAATGTATTTTGTATTTTTTAGAAGCATTACATCAAATATAAATCAAACACGTTTCTTCCGACAACATATTCTCACTGCTAAAGATTTCTCACGTAATGATCTTCACTTATTGTTTGGTGTGGCTCACGAAATGCGTACTCTAGTTGAACGTTATGGATCAGTAAATTTACTTCAGGGTCGTGTTATGTTTACACTTTTTTTTGAACCATCTACAAGAACATCAGCTTCTTTTGAAGCGGCAATGAATAGATTAGGTGGTCGAGTGGTTGCAATCAAGACAGATTCGTCTTCAGTTGCAAAGGGCGAATCGTTAGCAGATACTATACGGACGGTGGGATCATATGGGGACATTATTATTTTGAGGCACCCGGAACCCGGTAGTATTAAAACTGCAGCAAGATATTCGCCTGTTCCGATTATTAATGCAGGAGATGGCATTGGAGAACATCCTACCCAGGTATGTTCGCAACTTTGGATTTATTGATAATATATTTTATCTTTAATAATTTGTTATTAGGCTTTTCTCGACGTGTACACTATTCGAGAAGAACTTGGAACTGTTAATGGGTTAACTGTTACGTTAGTTGGTGACTTAAAAAATGGTCGAACGGTCCATAGTCTAGTTAGAGTATTATCTCAATACCAAGTTGCCCTTAATTATGTTAGTCCCACGTCATTACGTATTCCTGACGAAATCAAAACGGAAGTTCGCAAAAGAGGAGTAAGGCAAAAAGAATATACAGACTTAGAAAGTGTACTTGCAGAGACTGATGTACTTTATGTGACACGAATTCAACGTGAGCGATTTACAGATCCGATTGAATATGAACGGGTTAAGGATTCCTATACAATAAATAACGCTACATTGAGTCGTTCTAAACCAAACATGATTGTAATGCATCCATTGCCACGAGTGAATGAAATTGATCCAGAGGTAGACTTTGACGATCGTGCTGTTTACTTCCGACAGATGAAGTATGGAATGTTTGTAAGAATGGCATTATTAGCTATGGTAAGTTGTTACTATACAGATTGTATATAATTTCCTTATACTAGTTCTAACATTGCCCATTTATGTCAGGTTTTGGGAAGATCTGCGTGAATTAAGCTTTCTGAAACTATATTACATGGCTATTAATACATACTTATGTGAATCTTCAATTAAAAATAATAAAGTTATACGTAAAAGTATATATATCAACTTGTCACATAAATTATATGTTTATGAATTACTACAGTATTATGGTAGCATACAGCTCATAATCACTTAAAAAAAATATATATATGAATGTGGTTCGTGTAATATCCGCAGTTAATGGACAATGTTTTTTTTTATTTATCCCTGTCCAGAATCGTAGGGGCGTAATCTTTAAGGTTTAAGGTATAGTATATCACGTGATAATTTCCGGTTTTCAAATCCCAAGCTAGTTCTCTCTACCGGTATCAGTTATTTAAAGTTATCAGTTATCAGATAATCGTGGCTCGCGAAAGACACGTGACGAAGATCTTCAATCCATACAAGTGCATCGAATTTTACATTACTAAGAGAGCGATTCTAAAAAAATAAAAAAAAAATGACAGCACCATTGTTTTCAACCAATCCAGCTAAATGTAATTGTAAATATGTTCCAGGTAGCTTTGAAATTTCTTTTTTATGGATCTGGAATTTCTATTGATTTAAAATTCAAAGTTTCTTAAAATGTTACTTGGCAGGCGTGGACAATATTAATAAGGCATGTGGCATCAACTCTAATTGCGTTAATAGGGCCAGATTTATTGAATGTACACCAGAGCTATGTTCCTATGGCTCTTACTGCCAAAACCGATGGTAAGTTACCAGTAAAAAGTACACTCTATTTAGCTCAAAGTAATAACTTTTTACTCATAAATATTTTTTATTTTATCATAAGCATTCAGAATCATATGAACGCTTTATTTGATATTATCAGGGCACCTAACAAATATTTTGGATTGAAGGCATTAAAGCCAATAAAAGAGTATGTTTTGTTCTTATGTGCCATATATTATAAATTTATATCTCAATGTTCTTTATCTATGTTGAGTAGAGGATCTTTTATTGTAGAACCAATTGAAACTCCCGTAGAAATAAACAATTTAGAATTTCACATGGATAAATACATGAGTGAAGGATTGTGGCGGACCTATTTTCCACCGTCCGATACAAGCGAGGTAGGATTCTGCAATTATATTTAGTACTCATTACACTTAATAAAAAAGTGCAATCTTATTTATTATAGATAAACAACGCGGCAAAAAAAGGGAGACTTTCTCGTTTCATTGCGCATTCCCGTAATCCCAATTGTAATAAGCAAGAATGGCTAGTAGGAGGTCAAACTAGGACTGGTATATTTGCTAGTCGTGATATATCAGATGATGATGAATTAACAATTGATTACACCAAACCATCAATAGGGTATTAAAGATTTTGTATATCATTCATAATTAGCAAAAATTTTTGATGGATTATTAATTCGATATTAATTCGAATCACATTTTTAGTTATGGAATGCCATGTAAGATGAAAGAGCAAAATGGTACAAATATGACTCCAGAGGAAGTCCGTCCACTTGAAGATAATCAAGGAATTTTTAATTACATTGGACGTATGCTACAAGCTGTCTATAGGCCAGATTTGGCAACTCAAGTGCTCCGTAGTTTAGAAGTAATATTAAGCTTTGTTTGTTGTCGTAGTTAGAAGTAATATTAAGCTTTGTTGGTTGTCAGCTTTATTCTATAATTTAATTATACTTCCACTTTTTTAAGATAACTACAGATGAAAATGTTTTAAGAAAATTCTTAAATCTCGATGGATTAAAGATATTGAGTTTGTGGTTTCATGAGCATACTGAGCCTAAACTTATAGAACGGGTTTGTATATTTTGTTTGGTCTAGGTTAAATAGTCATTTTATTATCAATAATCATTAATTTTATTATAGATCATTTCGGTTTTGGAACAATTGCCATTACAATGCGACGATCTTGATATCATGAGTGAGATCAGGAGAAGTCTCCAGATGATAAAAATAAATGATGATGCACTTCATGATCGTATTACAAAGGTACTAAATAATTATAATATACTAATCAAATCACGACAGTATATTTAATACACGTATTTATTCTCATAGTTGTTAAAAAAATGGCGTGAAATTCATGCTCCGTCTAAGAGTTCCATGACCAATAGTTCTATACAAAATTCAATTTCATATGATCGAGATAAACAAACAAGCCCAAAAAATTCGAAGGCATAGTTTTTTCTTGTTTCCTTTTGGGTGAATGAGATATATTTGCAAAAAATTTGATGAGACCTTTACATATTAGGATAACATTTTGGATAGAGACAAAGGACACTCATCGAAAAAGAGTGATAAAATGAAAGTAATATTATTTTATCATAAACGTTATTCTTGTTCGTTCGATTTATATCATATAAACAGGCATTGTTCGTTAATATTTAGACAGTGGAAATATACCCTGAAAAGAAACCAAAAACACCTGATTCTAGTAGTGCACTTGGATCCGCATCCATATTGTCTGCGAGTTCATCTTTACAACCAAGCAACGAAGAGCCTGGTTCTTCACATAATGCTAATGCTAGCGTGAAAATTAATGATGTTGAATCAGTTACTGGCACATCGATACAGCCACCTTCCTCAGTTACTGCTTCTGACGAAGGTTCGTCCACTCACACATTTGATAAGGATAAATTCCGTGGGGAGGTAAGTATAGGTGGTTCGTTGAATGTTATATTTGACATAATTTACCTTAAATGGTAATTAGAGTTACTATGCATTGAATCAAACCTAACCTTATAGTTTGCAGCGGCAGTAGTTGAATACTCTGAACGATTCAAAAGTCAAATCGAGGAACGCACTCTAAACAAACATGTAAACAAGGTAAATTATTATTTTACATTTAAATACCATATCTTTATTCGATTTGAACTAAAATTATTGTCTATAGTGCATTGAACTCTGCTTTGGCAAAGAAATGCGCTTAACAGAAGTAGGAAGTGTTACATCAAGTGTTCGTAATCGTATCGCAAAGTTTTTGGATGAATATATGAAAAAATTGATCATTTCGATTAAGGGAGCGAAAAACGATAAGGAAAAGAAAGAAAAGGGAAAAAAGAAGAGGAAAGAAAGAGATGAAACTGGGGACAATTACAGTAGTAAAAAAGTTAAAATATGACTAATCGTTGCTTATGCCCATTATTAGAAATTTGTTTTATTATAATTGATAATTTTTTACTTGTAGATTGTATTTATAATCGAACAATGATTAGTTATTTGAATTTATTGTTTAGAACAAAATTGTAATAGGCATATATACATTCACCGAATATTTTATAGAATCATTGAATAAGTAGATCATCTGATCGAACGGCAAATGTAGTTATATATAAAATTTGTATTTTAATAAATTTGTCAGATTTATCTTCTTTTTTAAATAAATCTGTATGAGTTTAAAGTTTTTGATAACGATAGTGAAAATTTCTTATAATTAAAAACCGATTAATAAATATAGCCAAACCATTTCCTAGAATTATGCTCAATGGTGTAATAACGTTCGTTTAAAAGTATCATCCCGAAATAAGTCCAAGGGTGTTATTTCGAGAGGCTTAATTTAAAACGAGTTAATAATTGTGGCAGCTTATGCTGAGAATTTGACCTATCATGAAATTATAAAATTTTTGACAGTTAGGGTTTAGAGTTAGTGTTATTAATGAGTATAAATTTTAGTAGATATATATATTATAGATTTTAATCACAGAATAAATCGTCACAATAATTAATTTGACTGAAGATTTTTTTTTTTAAAACCTATTTATTTTAAGTTTAAAAAAGACTTCGGCCAAATTAATTTTAAATTAAGCCCCCGAAATAACACCTCGGTGTCGAGGTTTAAAAGTCCTAAATACAGTCAGGAATTTTATCAAATTTGGAGGACGTTTAAAGTCGCGTGAGTTAGAGTTACTTTTTTGATGCAGATATGATAGTTGGCTTATATAGATATCAAGAATAGTGATCGTAACCGATAATGAAAAAATCGGCTAAAAGCAAATTATCGGGCTTAGCCGGTCGATTTTTTTAAAATCGGCTGATCGAGGTGGAAAATGGATGAACCTAAAATACAAGCAAGGCTGAGATTAAAATTTCAGTAAAGTCGAATTAAATAGCGATAGTGTAATTTTAAAATCAGCTAAGCCGGCTAAGCCGGTAAAATTTATTAGCTTAGTCAGCCGAAAAATTATGATCGGCCAAAATCGCTAGAATTGATGGCATATCAACTTAATAACTAGGGTGTAAGATCTCCAAATTGTAGAATAGCACTTGTGTTAGTTAGTTAACTGGATTAGCTCTGGTTTACCAAGATTAAAAGTAGTCTAAAAAGGTTATAAGGCTATCTATAGAGATTTATTAAATTTGGAAGTTTAAATATAAGTAGTATAAGAGATCTGAAGAATATATGGGGTTGAGTCAATAGAAATCAAGCAAATTTTTTCTAAGTAAATTTTTTTAAAACTTTAAACAATAATAA